AGAATGCACTCATTATTTGGTCGATACACGACAACGAACCGCTTTGAACAGAACACATTTTCATACATTCCTGAATTGCAAAATCGCAAGTGAATAAAATTTCAGAGAAACTTTCGATTCAACTTTCTTATTTCTTCTCTACCTGATCTATTGATTTCGAAATGTTCTTTTGAACTTCAATAAATGCTGACGAAATTCAGTAAGCAATAATACTATTAAAACGCTGTTCGACAACACTGTTTCAATCTAAATTATTACGGTGTCTATTACAATATGAACACCTGGTCACTTCTTCGGATTTCAAATGAACTCTTCTAAACCACTCAAATACTCCCTTGTTATCTCACATTCTTCTATCCGATTATCAATCAGAAAATCTAACTGATATTGCAAACGAAAATATTCTTTTGACGAAAACGACAAGACAGAAATTATGTTTAAAACTCACCTGAACGACATCATGAAGATCTGAGAGTGTAGCTCGAGGCCTCAAGAAGAGCAAATAAGCAGGCATCGTCTCAAACCAACCGTCCAGTAAACCACTCATTCGTTTCAATGCTGTCGGATCGCCAGACACCACAAGCGCTATCTTCTCGGCTTCACCTTTACCCCATAATCGACCCGAGTCACACAACTCATGGATTGCCTTCAAAATCATATAATCAACTCAACTATAAATGCATTTCGTTCGGAAGCGATTATCTGCTCGACGTGAACTTCGAGTTGAGTGAAATTATTCTAGGTACTGTTCAGTGCAATAGAAAATAACACAATAACAGAACAAACATTTTGTTGCTTGATAAAATCAATTTGCGTGTTTGGATCATTCAGCAGTGAAATGTCCATAGCACCAATCAGCTTCGCCAACTCACGAATCGCATCGTCTTTAGTCAACATCGCATAACTTTCCAGAAATGCTGTCGCATTACTGAATAAACCGCTCAATATGAAATATGCTACCTGAAACTTGCATTGTCCATCAGAATCATGTGCTCAAAACCCAGCGAATCACTGGATTACCGTTCATGCATCTTAAAATCAGCGCTTACTAGAACCTAGAGCAAATAATCTCGAATGGAAACGCCCTAAGCGCCCTAGGTTATTTGGAGTTATCACGAAATCTTCGCTAGATCAAGAAGAAATGAATTAAGTACACTCAAACTAAAATTTTGCTCCTTCAAAACTAGAGTAACACTCGAAACGATATGTTCATGAGCCAAAACACGATCAATTTTTCAAATTTCAGATCCATTCAGCCATTCACCGAACCTGTTTCCAAAAATGATCCTTATCCAACTGACTGATTTTATTTCGTCGTAAACATTCCGACACTTCTTCAGCATAAGTGGTTCTGGCGAGACACAGCTGTGACCATGTTATGGTATCCACAACTATTGAAGAGTCTGCAAAATGAATCCTTTCACAAGAGCAAGTCCGCGGATAGCAAGCACAATCCTACACACATCATTAATGACACAAAATACACAAAAGTTTCGATCCGTCAAAAATTTATCATGTTACAATATCACAACCTCGAATATAAATCCACACAAAACGAATTTTACAAACGTTCATAAAGCTTCAGCAAAAATGTCGCGATTTTTGAGTCAACTGATTTGTCGTTGGGGTAAGACCACTCACCATGAGAATGTATGAATATTGCCTCAGCTAATGACCAGATCAGCTCGTACAGATTCAACGTTTCTCTCAGCTCCACATCACCATCCGTAAGCAGCGACTGGGCAGCACGAAGAGATGAACGATACTCTAGGCTTAACAAACGCAACCTAAAATTTGTCAGTTCACTTTCAACAGTTAGAGAGTATCAAATAAAAATCCAAATCTATGAAGTATATAAATACTCGAAAGTGTCACCTAAAGACCGAAATTAACGCAAAAAAATCTGCACTCTACGATTGTTTAACTGTTCAAAGAGTGTCAAAAGAAATGCTCTATTGGGATTATGAAAGCAATGATCAAAACCGCTCGTGAATACAACAGTTAGGATGGATATGGAGAAACGTACTCATCAACGCGTATTGTCGCCTCTTTAGCCAGTTTTTGCGCACGACAGAATGTCGCTGAAAAATCACTAAAATCATTTTCATCTAATCAATTGTTTGTATCACTTTTTGTATATAACCACAATTTTTTTGCACAATATAATGCAAATTTCCTGCGTAATATAATTTGTATAATATAATGCAAACATTCATATCATCAGGAACCATCACACATTTATGAATGAACTGATTTAACTTTACTGAACATGAATTAATAACGAACAATAATGATAGCAGACATGACATTTTAATGAAAATATGGTAACTTACAGTGCGATTCCTGAATAAGCGTTTGCATGGCTGGATGTGAAAGTGATCCCAAATGTGTGTTCTTCAATGAAACTGCTCTTATCAATTCACCCTTCACAGAACCATCTGAAGAGTTTCTAGATTGTCGGTGTTATTCTATTATTGGTGCAAAACCCCGATAATTCAGCTGTTCCTTTCAATCCATGTCTCTTTTAATGCATTCAAAATTTTCATAATATTTACGAATCTACCCACTGAATACAACAAATTTCATATCAATAAACGAATATTTCCGCACCTCTTTGTTGGGTTTGCTTCGGCTCCGACAGAGCTACCACAATCTCGTTTTCTGCCACATCCCATGCCGCAAACGAACTCTTCTTTTGCTGTCCTTCGTTCATATTCAATGACCTAATTCCCAATGAAACTCTTGAATAAATTCTCAAACTAGATCAATTGGAAAAAATGTCCAATCAATTCAACATCCAATCGCCGCATTTTCTGAGACTGAACAAATGTGGACACTCCTTTCGGAAACTGTCATGCTTTCTCTTCGAATACTATACATACTGATATATAATACAATTTAATATATTAGGATATGATATGATATATATAATACTGCATATTCAACTTCTCGAACATTACTCAGACTATTTCAGTGCCATAGGTAACCAAATATTTATCTTACCACTCACTATATTACTCAACCAAATTGCCTTATTATCAGATATCGCAATGGACCACTGATCAATATCCTACAAATGCACTTTGAATCCTCAAATCCTAATGATAAATCAAACTTCAAAAAGTATATCTCTGCTAGCTTCGCAACAAAACGAATAGTTCTCATCATTTGCAAATGAAATGAATAAGTTTCACAAAGCAATTGACAATGAATATATGCTTTATTCTTCAATAAAACACTCGTAATCGTACATCAAATTTGAACATCCACAACTATTGCTATGCGATCAGCAATTCGATGGAACATTCAAATGAAATTATCAATGAACAACTCTACAAATAACCGCACAGGTTGGATGAATCAACAGTGAATGAACAACTGTCATATCCAGAATCCAGGTTCAACGTTACTCGAAATATATTAAGATGAGCGATTGATGAACATATTAATCAATCAGTGCAATGGAAACGAATTAAGCTGATGTGAAAATATCAACGGTTAGATGCTGAATATGATTACAGAATACGGAGGTGCTTTTACAGAATACAATGAAATGAAATATAAAAATCTCTATTATATGAAAGATATTATGGATTAAGAATACAAATATTGCATGATTAAGATAGGATCTGATCACTAACAAACAAAGATTTACGATAGTCTTTCAAATAAACGAAACCAGCTGCAATAACACTGAGATTTGTTCAGTTAGAGCTTGGAGCTTAACTAACTACGATTCACATATTTCGTTGAAGTCTAAATCTTCAACAAAACCAAATAGCAACTAATGCGAGGACCTACATTACCATACAATATATGAATTATGACGATTCATCAAGAACTATATCCACCATTAAATTCAACAAATAAATACGAAACATCTGAAAGTCACTCTACACAATATCAAGCACAAAAATCACTAACAATAAGCAACGAATAATATTTGAAGGAAGAAACAAATTCTTCAGAATTAAACCAAACAAACGAAAACATTCAAAAAATGGCAAGAAAACGAGGAACAATACCAACAAAAAAAGCAAAACAAAAACACAAAAAATCACATACAAAATCTATGAAACATGCACAGTAATGTACAACAATAAATCTAATCAACACTGTAAGCGACCAATCATTTTCTCATTTTACTACCTTCTTCGTTATCAAATCAGTCTGATACAAAAGAAATTCATTTACACCTACCGTATAGTTGTATAGATAAGATGACTTTACAAATAAAAGTTACGATAGAACAGCACATTGCAGGTATATTGTACGCAAGATATATTGCACTTATTCAATACATGAGCAACAATCAATGTTCCCAATGAAACAATCAATTAATTAACATATTTGCACCATATAAACAGGTTAATAGCTCAACAAATAAGCAATCATAAACAATACTCAGCATAGGATTTCTCACAAAAGTTTTACGATGAGATAAGATAAGAACTAAGCAGTCAGTTACTTTCAACACATAAATCTGTCAAACGCAATCCTGAAAAACAAAACTGTAATAATTTCGATTTAAACGAATACTTGAAAAGCAATGAAGAATCATCAAGCAGAATATGAAGTTAGAAATCATCAAGCAATAAGAGAATTCTGATAGACAAAATACAATTTCCCGTAAAGACAGCACAAGCGAACAGAATCAAATTATCATCACATCGACAATATAGGCACTCGGAAACAGAAAGGATTCAGTTCAGTGAAAATTATGAAACAGTTTGCAAAGTTTGCAAAAGACCAAAGAAAATACAATGACAATAATTGGTAGGCACTCGGGTTCCAATGAGCACGGGGAAACAGAGCAAAAAATAAAGTAAAATCGGTTAGATGGGGAAACGATATGGAGAACAATCCATTACCGTTTCCAATAAAACACAATAGCTTTTCATATACAGCCAAAATAAGGACCAGAATCAAAAAAGTGTTCCATGAAAAGAAATCATATCATAACAATGGTAATAATAAAGGTCATAATAAGAGCCCACCGTCAATGAGAAAATCAACCGAAAGATTTTAAAGTAAAATGGCAAGCCACGATTGACAAGGAACTCACGCAGTCAGCGATTTGAAACATGATGATAAAATGATATACATACATAATTCTAACTCAGTTTAAACTGGTTACAACAACAAATAAATAATACTTCCAACAGCACACACACATGTGAACATGAACACACAGTTATATATCTACACATCAGGAAAAAAGTACATCAGAATGATAAAATCTCTTTACGTGGACGCGATCAAACAAACACAAATATAATCCTCGAAACCATAAATACTATCCTCATAAAATCTAACGTCAGTCAGTTCAAAAGACCTCATTTATTCTACCATTCTCATCCCAGCCCTTTCTATCAATTATGCTCACAATTAGGCTCCATCCAAAACTGATACAATTCCCTCAAATCCCAACCGCAAATGTTCCAGCAAGCATGAACCATTCTGCTCAAACTGGAATCCAATCCTTCACGAGGATTTTTCTGAATTCAACCGAACACCTCTAAGGCATTGTTGTTCGTTTACGTTGCGATTGCTTCCTTGTAGCCAGTGTCACAGCCTCCAACAAATTCGGATTTTGATCCATGATTCGCGTCAGCAACGTTTCAATATATTCATTCAAACTCTTCTCTTTCTCTTCATGCCTGGCCAACTCTATTTGCATTTCATTTAACATCTTCTCCATTTCATCGTACGATAACTTTTTGCCATCCTAAAATTGAGAACTATCTAAAAACTAGCACAGAATGGCTCAATATCATTATAATATTCCACCAATATTCAATGGAATTCCATGTCACATTTATGAGATGTCAATTCGC